AGTAACTTATTAGATTTCTGTGAATATTTGTTGTGAAGCCTGAATAATAACGTGGTATTGAACGCCTAAGTGGAAGGTTATCAGCGAAGCCTGAATTAATGACACAATTAATTAATTGATAAGGAACGCGAAGCTTGACACTTTAGAGCGAAGCATGACGAGATTATTGTTAGGAACGCAGAATAGACTGAAATCCGATAGTAAACTTTAACAATCAGTAAAGGTAAAAGAATAAATCCATCTAAAATATAAAATGAGTGAATTGAATTTTACTACAATACGATTGGAATATTTGCTTATCGCTCGGACGCGAGTGAATGAAGCAACAAAGGTCTTATCTCTTCTTCACGCACAGTCTGTAAGAAGGAAGTTACTTGGCCAGGTTTCTTTCTTCATAACAGTGTAAAGAAGACCAATATGTGTGTGTAGTATTTATAATTATGCAAATTTGGAAAATTATTAGAAAAAGGTAGAATTAAGCGTATGTAATTAACATTATAACATTTCTTATGCCATGTTGATGTTTGAATAACAATGTATATAAAATAGGCGCCTATTTAAAAATGTTGTGTTTGCAGTGATGTGTTTTAAACAAATGTAATGTTTCTTGTATTATATTGTAAATAAATATGTGTTAGTTAATAAGAAATTTTGAGACCTATGAGAAGGAAGTAATGCGTATATTGGTATTTCATCAATTCATGTTATGAGATAGTAAGATTAGCAATGTAATCCAGGCTACTAACATGAAGTTTTAAATGAACTGAAAATGAAGTTTGACAATTGTATCAAATAATTGAGTAAAATGATGAGTAATGAAAGGGGAGGAGATGTAAGCAACCTGAAATAAGCGCGCTGCGGAGGACGCGACCTTGATAATTGGGTCAGATGTTTGATAAGAGATAATGCAAGCGGAAAGGTTTGTTTACTTTTCAATATCTGTGGTTTGAGGTCGTCGAACCGTGTTGTTTAAGGAGCTTAGGGTGTGAATTATGACACCGAGAAAAAAAAAATGGAGAAAACAAAAAAAATGCGTTTTATTTTGATTTGCAAAACAATATTTTTTGTTTGAAAGGGGAGATTTGTCACGATTGTGACAGAAATTATATTTTATTTTCATATGTTATAAGGTAAAAGAATTGAATGTTAATACAAATCCTGGAAAACTAGAAGAAACCGGTTTTCTTAGTTCAAGTCGATACCAGCATTGATAACTGCAAGCGCGCAGTCTGGTGGCAAGTGTTCGAGATTAGGCTTAGGGTAGCGATGATTCATAATTTGGAGGAGAACCACTTTGTTTCAATCTCATTTTGCGTAGTTGTGGCCGACAGTCAACTTGTTCCCTCGATTTGGAGGTATGTAATGCAAATAATTAAGCAATTTATGTTTAAGGTTATTCCAGGAAAAATCAGTACAACTTCAATATGTAAATATATATAGCTAAGCATTTTTGGGTAAACCAATTAATAATTTTTACTTAAATTTTGATAGATATGAAGATTGAACACCACGTGTTTTTGGCTCAGGTTTTAACGAGTGTTAAAAAATTGTTTTAGCTTTGTATCTTAAAAGGGATTAAACTTAAAGAGCATTGTGTCAATCTAAATGATTTTTATAACTATCAGTAACTGTTCAGAGAGAATATTTCGATTAAATTTTATTTTTTAAGGTAAAATTAGGTTGGTTTCAAAGTCATGTTCTAGTTGAACCGACAGGATTTTAATATTGTTTTAGTTTGGGGTAGTTATTAAGGATTTGTCTAAACAGTTATTTATTTCGATATGGAAGAAGGATATGTTTAATTTAGGCTATTTGTGTTTAATTAAAATGTCACAGTAAACTGATTTAGTAATTCGTTAAAGAATCAAGATGTATTAGACACATGTTTGAGACAGCTGATTAAAAATTACTTTGTGGTCAATTTTACTATTATGTAAATTCAGAAAAAGGTAATATGTTAAAATATTTTATGTTTTGTACTTACGAATGATTTTATTTAAAGGGGTTATTTCAAATGTTTGTCAATGAGAACAAAATGAGAATTTTAGTATTCTATGTTAAAATTTATTGGGGAAACTAGACTTTAGAAACGATTTGTGGGAAAATTAACTTTGCTGGATAGATGTGTGAAAGTATGTGTAACTATACTAAAATAAAGATATTAAAGAAGGGATCCATAGTACGAATTTGGAACATGTCCTAGGGTTCAAGTCCCAGAGTTAAACATCGTCGGAGAGTACACCATCGCCTATCTGTTGTCTGGAGGAGCCTGGACCAGTATCACCTTCTTGGGGGCCTAACAACCATCTAGGGACTATCTGTTTGCAAACCATGGACGTCTTCCCACCAGTAGACTGTCTCCGGTTCAGATCATCTCACTGAAGCTCCACCAAAGATTGAAGACAGCGTTCGTGAAGTGATGAGTACCCTTCACCATGTTACACATCAATATTTAAAATTTAATGATTAGGCCTATATTTGAGTTGAAAAGTAGGAAGTATGGACTTTGGAGAGGACCAGAAGTGTTTTAGGGATTTTTATATAAGGTTTGATCGATCAAAGAAAGGGGAGGGCAAAATAAAAAAGGGGGGGGGTTAGTAATGGTTGTAAAGTTTATTTTGGTTAAGTGGAGAAATAGTTTTTGTTAATTTTCTAAGGTGTTTTATCATACTGAACAATTGTTAGTTTTAAGAGTTTATTTCATTATATTGGATTTTTACTGGAATAATACGACTTCTTATTTCAGCATGCCCTTCTTGCCTCCTTTCACAGCACGTTATACTTGATTTTAAATTTAAGACACTTAGGAGTGTCAGTTGTTATGTCTTTTCTTGTTTTATCATCTAATGTTTTATTGAATATTGTAACTATGTTTTGTGTTCAACTTTGTTTTCTATGTATTTATTTAAAATTAAACGGATTAACTAGAATATTTAAATGTGTAAACTATGGTTATTTAGAGTCAAACATACTCTATACTTGTGATCGTTCAGTATTTATTTTTTAAAATTCTTTTTGCTTTTATCATCTTGTATTGAATATTGCAACTATGTTGAACTGTTGGTTCTGTCAACTTTATATGACCTTTGTATATATACATCTGAACTAATATTTTAAATAAAAAAGAAGAAAAGAATTCTCTTGTACTTTAATACACCTTACTTAGTAGGTCTTGACAACACAGGCTTACGTCTTGTGTCATAAATAATTAGATCTTGACCAGCTGTTTAAGTAAAGTAATCTTTGTTAACAAAACCAATGAGTGTTTTACCACTGTATAACTGACTCATCAAATAAATTGACATCTATTATATTGTTGTTGTACCTTAGCTAAAGGTAAAGGAGATAAATAAAGGAACAAAAGTTTACAGTAAAAATATATATTACAATAAGATACATTCAATACAGCAATTATATATTTACCATTTTGACAAATACTTCATGTTCTCTAATACAGCTTCTATAATGTTTGCTACACAGAATCGTCGAACCTCGCTATCAATCCACGGCAACATCGATGTTCTAAGTGCCGTCCGTTCATACCAAAAATCTTGAGTCTCTGCAGGCAACCTTCTTTCATTCAAGTCAGAAAGTAATCGTGGCAAATCACTTGTAATGTGGCGAACGAGTTGTTTGTCCAATGACATTGAAGCCAAGTCATTTGTAGTGTTTGAAGAAAGTAGAGCCATTACCTTATAGTGTTTGGTAAAATACCGTGTGTAACGAGAGATCAGAAACTGCACAGTTGGGTTTATTTCAAGTAGGATATTAAAGTAGCTCTCAAGGGATGGGAACAACCGTTTTAAAGAGATCCATCCATCATTTTGAAGAACCACTCTGGGAGTCTGTCGAATGATATCAGATTCACTTGAAGGTCTTGAAAGTGTAACAGAATTCAAATTGTGATTAACCGGCTTGTTTCTCAGACGATAGTTACAAAATGATACTAATCCATTTGGTCTTTGTTCTAATATGACTGTATGTAGATAGAACGGATTGAATGGAGTTTCATCGGAGTAAAACTTGTCGATAGAGTGGTGAACTGTAGAGCTTTGCAGACTCAAAAGATCTTCAAATGTCAATTCAATTGAGGTTTGATTATTTACCAAACAAATAGAGGGAGAAAAGTCTTTAATTGAATCGAGACCAACAGCTGCATGAGCCTGGTTTGCAACTTTATAAATCTGTCTAAGTAAAAGATGTGGTTCCCATGAGTTAGGCTGCTGATCAGAACGCACAGCTGCTTTGTGTGGCTGGTGTATACTATGAGAGTGACTCACCACAGATGTTGTCGGTGCTGACGGCGAAGACGTATATGACACTGAAGACGACGTTGAGGCTGGTAATGAAGATAACTTAGCTGCTGATGGTAATAGTTGTTGCGAATGTTGAGGGGGCGGCGGCGGCGGCGGCGGCAGTTGTGGCAAAATTGAGGCATGTAGATTACCTTGATGATCTTTCTGGCGAAAAACCTGGCTCGACCTAGCACGTGTGGCAGATTTTGTTGTTGACGAGTTGACTGGAGTTTTCTGAATTGACGGTTGTTCCGGCCGGTACTCTTCCACATCCTTTGAACCGTAATCCTCTTCCACTGCGTTGACATTTTGACTGCACTCGCGGGTATAGTAATTTGTTTCGACCGCACCTGCTGTTGTGTGTACGGAATCAGATACGTCTTGTAGAGTCTCACCAGTTAAAGATGCAAGAAGCTGGTCAATGTCCATAGTATTTACATCGGAGTATATTACATTATGCACTGGTAAAGCAGGCGGAGCTTTAGTACGTTTACGTTTCACTCGCGAAAGATCTTTACGCGGAACTGGTACCGACCGCTTCACTGACGCTTCCATACTGGCTAAACCAGCAAACCAGTTCTAGGTTTTATACGGAGTGCAGGTCTGGACAGGTACGATCATCGACCTTGCGATGCAGATGGCGTCAAGGATAAATCCACTGAACTGAAAACAAGTCTAGACAGGTCGCGCGCCCGCGCGGATATTTTAAGAGAGAGATAATTTTGGTGTCGTGAGTAATACAGTGAGCTTTGCATCAATATTTGTAAGCAATTTTAAAGTTTTGACATCTGATTCATCCAACGTGTTTATCCTTCTATCATAGGTTCCTAATAATTTTGATGTTTTCTCATCTGATTCTTGCAGTTTCTTTATCTCTTCTTCTAAAGATACCAACGATTCAGATGTTTTCCCGTCTGATTCATGTAGCTTTTTGATTTTTTTATCCAAATATACTAAAGATGCAGACGTTTTTTCATCCGAGTCTTGTAGTTTCCTGAGCTTATCATCCAAAGATACTAACGATGCAGAAGTTTTCTCGTCTGATTCATGTAGCTTTTTGATTTTTTTATCCAAAGATATCAAACGTGTAGACGTTTTCTCATCTGAGTCTTTCAGCTTCTTGAGCTTATCATCCAAAGATACTAAAGATGTAGACGTTTTTTTATCCGAGTCTTGTAGCGTCTTGAGCTTATCATCCAACTCTGTAATTAATTTAGATGATTTCTTATCCGATTCTTGTAAGTTGTTTAGTCTATCGTGATAGGATACCTGTTTTTCCTTTATGTCGCTTAGGTCGGTCTTAATAGATTCCTCTATGGAGACTATTGATTTTTTTACATCCTTAACTGCTTGATTTAGCTCTTCGAGGCTAACAGCAAATGTCTATAACTTTCCTTCTACCTCTTTCAAATCGTCTTTGTTCACATAGAAACGATTTAGATAACCTTTAGACACTTTTTGACGTGATACGTCAGGATCCACTGCAGCTCTGAACCTCTTGGTTCCATCATCACTCAACACATACGCATCGTCATCTTCATCATCAGATAAGTGACGCTTCTGTTCTTGATACAAAGAGTGCCCAAACTTGTCTATAACGTGTCTTCTGATCATAGCTTGTACAATATATGTTTATCATAACAATATCCAAACCAGAATGGTGAAACGAACATGATATTAGCCTATTTAAACCCACTAAGGGAAAACCAAGGCGTTTGACATAAATCTTGATCCCGTCAGACGTCCTAGTTAGTTTGTGTAGCTCGTTTTTACTATACCCAAGAGTTGAACCGAGATGGAAATCCCAACCACTTTACATATATTTTGTTTCCTTTACGTCTGAGTACTTTTTCAACAAGAAATGTGTTGGGATAGTTAGTTTTTTGTAGTTCAGGCTCGTAAAATGCGCCCTTTATATCGTTTCCTTCTTCGTCTTGTAAGTAGTATACAGGGGGAGATGACTGACGTACACGAACTACTTTAAAAAGCTCGGTACTCCAATTTGGAGTGTAGCCTTTTTCAAACAACGTTTTATATTTTGAGATCCTCACTTTGTCGTTTACTTTAAACTTAGCGACACTACTAGTCTTAGACATATTTAACTTTTTTACCAAAAACTGTTCATTTTGTTTGGTGACGTCTTTTGGTTTCATACCTATCGATCTGTGCACCCTAAAATTGTACTTTTGAATCAATTTAGGAAGTAATTCTAGCCACTTGTAGTTACCCTGTACGCTAAATTCTTTATACATCCAGTTCTTTATCGTTTTGTTCAGCCTTTCAACGATTGAGGCCTTTAATGGACTATACGTACTATAGTGGTTGATACCATGTTTTTTTATTAGTGTTTTAACCTCTTTATTGTAAAAGTCAGTGCCGAGATCACTTTGAATGTTGCGTGGTATCCGACCGCTTCCTTCAATCACACTTTCCAATGCTGATGCAACCGTTTTTCCAGCTTTGTTATTTAACGCCACTGCCCATGCATATTTTGATAACGCATCTATCACCATCAAAACATACTTTTTCCCTCCATTTATCCTAGCATAAGGAATCATTTCTATCAGGTCGGCTTGCCACAAATCATCTATACCGCGTACAAAAACCTTTCTTCTAACGAATTTCTTTCTGGCTTGTCTATGCAGCTCGTTGACAATTCCTCTCTTGGATGCCGACAAAGACTCCTTAGTTGATCTGTCACTCATTGTGTCAAGCTATTATTCCGTTTAATTGTAACAAACCTATTATGTATTGTATTTCTTCACTGTGAGCTGTGTGACCTGCTTCTTTCGAGAGAATTAAGGTCTTAAGTCGTTTTACCAGTAGATTGGCATTGCTTTTATACGGTTCAATGTTTTCCACAGTTATTCCACTCCCAGAGGGTGATGCCGATGTTGCCACACTGTACTTTGGTGGAAACAGCACTGAAATAACAGTTGAGTACTTTTTACCTCTGTTGCTATTTATAGGTTTTTCTGCGGAATACATTTGACGATGGGCGTTGGAAGCTTGCAGTATCTCCTTATAAGACTGTAGGTCTTGTTGTGTAATGGAAGCTTTGTCGGGAACCTGCATGAAAAGAAGTTCCAGGAGTCCTGGTGTAGCCTCGTAGCTACGATCTTTTACAATTACATGCGAGTTGGTAAACTTTATCCTTAAACTGCCAATGGTCATATTACCTCTCCCATCGAGTTTAACTCCATATGTGGAGTCTATTTTGTCCTTATATGAGGGGCCGGAAAGTCGTTTAAGGTATTTTTGTATTTGACTAGGTGTAGGTGTTTGTGTAGACATATCCATTGACTTATCCGCTTCACATTCTTCATTTTGTATCTTTTCTATTAAAATGTTTTCTTTTTTTACATCTTCCGGTTCTTCCTTCTTAATGTATCTATAAGAGTCATTCAGACGTGTTTCCAAAGTCTCTTGTAGGGGTTTTACAAGCGGTTTGGCTTGGGCTTCCAACAATTGTTCTACATGCTCAGCATTGTTCCTTAGTTGTCTGTACTTCTTTCGAACGGAATCGGTCAACCTCAGCAGTTCTCGTTTGATTGCCTGCTCTCTACTCGGTGGTCGTTGGTAGGTTTTTAAGTTAAGCTTGAATTTTTTACCAACCTTCTTCCTAGGGCGTTTTCTTGTCGGGACACTAGTATATACGTCCATTCTCTTAGCCAATCTGATACTGTTATAACATGTGAAGGCAAGCAGTTGACCTTATATATCAGTAATGAACGTGTCTATATCACACCTATAACGACCTTTGTTTATTTCACAGTCCTTATTGATGGTTACAAATCCATACTTTTGCTTTTGCCAACAAGCTCTACAAAGCGTTTTAAATTTTTCAAACGTCATATCGGTGTTTACGTGATCTTTGTAGACATGATGTAAGTTGAGCTCATCCTGTTTAAACAGAATTATGAGATTTGCATTATCTCTAATTAGATGTTTTGGCAAACGGGTGTAGGTTTGTATGAGATAGAATGTGTCTACATTTCTATGTCTACCCATACTAAAGTATGCTCTCATGTTATCTTGCTTGTCACAAGCCACGTCGTCAAAAATCATTATCGAGTCCTGTTTTGCCTCTCCTGGATCCTGTACCTCTTCACTGTTAAATGTGAAGTACCCAATATATGGAAGATTACTAATTATTTGCTCTAACAGCTTGTACTTTGGTTGCATTAGTGATTTACTAAACACATATATGTTGGCATATTTTAGTCCATTCGGTTCAGTCAGAAGGCTGAACATTAAGTTGGTTTTACCACAGTTTGACGGTCCACACACAATAGACCTAATGGACCGAGGAAGGAGGCTGCCATGTTTCTCAACTTCACTGTCAGTGGTGATCAGTTTGTCCACTGAGTTGTCCACAGTGAACGTGTCACGTTGCTTTTGAAATTTCATCCTTACACCACAAGCGTCACACACAAAGTGCTGCTGTGATATATAAGGATTCAGTGATATATCACTAGCTCAGTATGATCAGGATCTCGAGAGGTCGAGGACTACTTAATCGCGGGATAGACTCTTTGCCTATCGAACTTCACTTGCCCGGGTATCAGTACTGTGGCCCTGGGTCAGATTTGAGGAAGCGTCTGGAGCGTGGGGATCAAGGAATTAACTTGTTGGATCGGGCATGTAAAGAACACGACATAGCTTATAGCAAGAACAAAGATCTTCCTAGTCGTCAAACTGCAGACAGAGTTCTTGCTGACAAAGCTTGGACACGTTTTAGCTCTAAAGGTGTACCGTTTGGTGAGAAGCTCGCCTCCTGGGTCGTCGCCAGTGCAATGAATGCAAAGTTGAAGCTCGGTGCGGGTACGGTGAAGAGAGGGAGAAGAGCTCGCAAAGCCAAGTCTGGAATGGGTACAACCACTAAACGTAGAAGGACCGTTTGCAGAAAGAAGAGGAGAAGTGCTACTAAGAAACTAACCTCCAAACCTTTTACCTTTTCCGACATATTGCGACGGGCAAGAGACGCTGTACAGGGCTCAGGACTGAAATTTTATAAGGAAAGTAAAGATGGAGGTAGACGTCGTTTGAAAAAGGCCGCCACGTCTGCTCTACAAGCTATCAAGTCCATGCGAAGAGGAAAGCGTGCTGCGTTTAACCATTTGCGTCGTAGAGAACGCATTCTCGCATTACCCAAGTCAGGAGGTGTGTTGCCATTATTGCCGATTTTCGCGGGTTTGAGTGCACTGGGTAGCTTGGCAGGTGGGGCTGCTGGTGTGGCTAAAGCAATAACTGAAGCCAAAGATGCAAAGAAACGCCTGGGAGAGCTGCAGAGACATAACGAAACCATGGAAGCTATCGCTTTACGCAATGGAAAGGGTTTGTTTTTTAGACCTTACAAAAAGGGACTCGGAATTTACATGGCCCCATACCAGAAGCAACCAAAAAACTTATAAACTTCTTGCCCAAACGTGCTTTATACGATTTTGACTTGGTGTATTGGGCAAGGAAATTAAAGATTCCACACTTTAGAGGGGTATTTATGCGGGATGAACTACCACAAAGCCCGTGGAAAAATGAGTCTGCAATAGTGAACTTGGACGACAGCACTGGTCACGGCACACATTGGATCTGCTACAAGAAGAATGGGGAGTTTGTAAGGTACTTTGACAGCTACGGAGATCTTACACCACCATTGGAACTTCACAAATATCTGAAGGGGAATTATGTCTCCTACAACAAGACTGCTTATCAGGATGTAGACAATAAGAGTGAAAACTGTGGGCATTTGTGTTTATATTTTTTGTCTACAACCTAATAAATATCTGTTATAAATAAGATTTTTTAGTCCCTTCCCGTCCAGTCATGTCTCTGACGTTTGTACTTTCGGGTAGGAGTTCTACACTCTCTGTTGACTACTTCCCGCCGGTTGAGTTGGATCCAAATTGTGAGTACGAGATTGGCCTTCTCAGCTTTGAGACTTACAACTCGATACCTAATATTGATGAAACCAATAATATGTTTCATTTTGACAATGGGAAAGTGATTAAAATCCCTACCGGCACTTATGAGGTACAGGATATTGAGAGCTTTATAAGGGAGAAGTTTAAGCTATTACCACAGTCGTCTGAGAAAAAGTATTGGATACGCCTAGGGACTAACAATAATACTTTACAGACCTCCATGAAGAGCACTGTACAGGTGGATTTCTCTCAACCAAACTCTGTAGGATCTCTTTTGGGTTTCCAAAAGGAAGTTGCAGAGCCAGAGAATGAAATTTACTCAAAGAACGTAGTAGATATCTTTAAAATAAACACAATAAGACTGGAGTGTAATATATCGAGTGGGTCCTACGTAAATAATCGACAAGCGCACACCATCTATCAGTTTTTTCCCTCTGTACCTCCCGGATATAAGCTGGTTGAAGTTCCAAACTCCGTCATTTACCTGCCGATCACCACTAAGGTCATTAGTAACATTACGCTTAAGATTGTTGATCAGGACGAAAGACTGGTGGATTTCAGAGGTGAACGTATAACAACCTGTTTACATATTAGAAGAGTCACAGGATTGAAATAGACAATGGGTTATGTTTATTTCCCACCCACACCTTCAAAGTGTGCTTCTAATCTGCAGAGAGAGAACAAAGGCTATTTATTGGACACCCGCAAGCCAAGGGTAAACAGTGTTAGTCAACCACCCAAGCGGTTAACACGTACTAATCAACGGTTTTTACGCTCGTTAGGATTTCAAGTACTTCAGTAATGGATATATTAAACATTTTGGGAAGTTTTCCATTTGATGATACAATATCACACATGGAATACCACACTCATTTCCCATATGCTTCTAGCACACTTGAGAACAACGATGAAATTAGAATACCTATACAACAACAAGATCTGTGTGTTCTCCCTTCAATGAGCTATTTGTACATCGAAGGAAAGCTTCTTACTAAAGACGACGCTAAGCCTACAAGAACTGGATTTACAACAAACGCTTTTGCCTTTTTGTTCGATGAAATTCGGTATGAAATCAATGGTGTAGAGATCGATCGCGTAAAGAATCCTGGTATAACATCTACTCTTAAAGGTTACGCTTCACTAAACGAGACCGTGTTGAAGGGATTAGGAAATTCAGGCTGGCCATCTACAGTTGACCGATTGTCATCAACACTAGAATCACATGTAGTGGATTCCGAAGGAAATTTCAGTTTTTGCATACCACTGAGTAAACTTTTAGGGTTTGCAGAAGATTACAGAAAAGTAATTGTCAACTGTCGTCATGAACTGGTTCTGATCAGATCCGCAGGGGATAAGAATGCGGTTTTGTGGACTGCTGCCAGTGCCACTGATACAACACCTGAAGACGTTAAGGTTAAACTTGAAAAACTGTGTTGGAGAGTCCCATACGTTACACTGAGTGACAAACAAAGGATCGCCTTGCTTCGCCATTTGGAACGGGGTACAAGCATTCCTGTAGAATTTAGAAGCTGGGAACTCTATGAATATCCCTCCCTACCTTTGTCTGATAAACAGTCATGGTCAGTAAAGACTGCTTCTCAACTGGAAAAACCTAGACATGTTATGGTAGCGTTCCAGAAAGAGCGCAAAAACAACATCAAAAAGTCAGCAGCATGTTTTGATCACTGTAAGATATCCAATCTTAAGCTTCATCTTAATTCCATAAATTATCCTTATGATGATTTAAAACTGAATATCAGTAAGAACCGGTACGCAATCTTATA